CTGGGGGGGGGGGTTCCCTGCCTCTGCAGAGCAACCCAGGGGAGTTCTCTCTGAGCACTCGGGGCTGGTTTCAGCAGTGATGGAGACACGGTGCCAAAAATAAGTCCTGCTCACCTAGGACAGTAGACTCCAATTCAATTTCAATTCAGGGTGTGTTTATTGAGTGCCTGATTCGGTTTAGGTGATGGAGAGAATGAGAGGATGAGGACGAAAGCCTACGCCGCCGGCCAATCCAGGCAGAAATAACCTAGGAATCTGCCCCCACAGGTCCCTGGGTCCAGAAACTCGATTTTTTTATCCACTTCACCCAGTAAACAGTGGATAAATCTTAGTCTGGCTCATGAACAAATATTGATGAAGTGCTTGCGGCCTGCCAGGCACTGTCCTGGGGCTGGGGCTGCATTGATGAACGGAGCAGCCCCAGGTCCCTGCCACGTGGAGTCTACGTTCTAATGGGGCATCTGCAAGGCCATGCGGTCAGGCCTGTGCAGTGGAGTCTACCCTGGGAGGGAGCCAGGTGCAGCGGAGTCACCAGGAGAAACGGTGAGGGAGAGGTGGGATTTGAACTGTGTTTTGAAGGCTAAGTGGGGTGTACATTCTGAAAGGGCTGGAGGCCTGTCAGATGGGGGTCTGAGCTGCATGGACAGGACTGAGCATAGCACAACATCAGGGAGGGGTCCATGGCCAGATCAGCTCCCCCAGGAACAGGTGGATGCTGGGTAACAGTGTGTGCTGGGAAGTTGGGCAAAAGAATGTTGGTATCACATGGGGTTATGGCACGTGGGCTATGCAGTCAAATGACTTGGGTCTGACTCCCAGCTCTCTCAGACTTGCTAACCCTCTGATCCAGGGCATGCTACTTAACCTCGATAAACCCCATTCTCCTAATCTAGAAAATAGGCAAAATCATAACTAGCTCGTAGGTTGGTCCTAAGCATTTAGATGAGATCACGAAAGATTTTTTAAAAAGGCTTAGCTGTTTAATATTATTGACATTGGATAACTAGGCCTGGAATCCAGAAATACTGGAACCTGCTGCCAAAAACTCGGTGGGAAGCTCACAACATCTGCATGCAGTGCGGGATCTGCTGCTTGTAAACCCTTCTGTTTACCACCCCCTCGCTCCCATGGCAACCATGATGGCCTGAGTGGTGGCACCAGGGCTAGGATGAGGCAAGAGAGGCACCTAGAACATATTTGCATGAATGATCTGGCTACTTTGAATTTTGCCCCATTTGCCTGCCCTAATCCCAGCCCTGCTGAGTGGTAAGATACCTTCTTGATCTACACAGTGTGTTTCTCAAAGTGTAGTCCTTGGTCTGCCTAAATCATATCATAGAGCCTGCTTATTAAAATTATATTCCTGGACCCTACACAGTTAACATCTATGGAGATAGGGCCTGGAATGTGCATTTTAACACACACACACACACACACACACACACACACACACACTCACATACCAGGTGATTCCCAAGCCCTCTGTTGATACTTCAGAGCAGAAGTTTCTCGAGTGTGGCCCCCAGCCCGGCAGCATCGGCAGCATCAGGGACTTGTTAGAAACGCAATTTTTGGCCATCTCTCCTGACCTACTAAATCAACACTCTAGGGGTGGGGCCCAGCAATCTGTATTTTAACAAACCCTCCCGATAATTTGGATGCACATTCAGTTCACATGGGGGAGGTTTTAAAAACTGTCAATGAAATCAGAGTCCCGCCCTGGCCGGGTGTCTCAGTTGGTTGGAGTGTCCTCTGGTACACCCAAAGGTCGCAGGTTCGATTCTCGGTCGGGGCACACTCCTGGGTTGTGGGTTCGATCCTCAGTCAGGGCACACTCCTAGGTTGTGGGTTTGATCCAAGGGGGCACTACAGGAGGCAACTAATCCATGTTTCTCACATCGATGTTTCTCTCTCTCTCTCCCTCCCTCTCTCTAAAATCAATAAATACATATCCATAGGTGAGGATTTTAAAAAAAAATCAGAGTCCCTCCCTGCGATAGAACTCAGGTATCATCATTTTTCAAAAGCTCTGCCACCCCTCCCCAGAAATCCTAAAGTGAGGACCGTTTATAATAATCAGAGGAGGAAACAGGAAGGTGGCACAAATGATTTCCACTTAGGAAATTACAGTTCGGCCACAGGCATTGCCTCAGCTAATTCTTGCAATAAGTCGGACGCCCCGCTGTGATCCCATTAGCAGGTGAGGAACCCAGAGCTGCTGGGGTGTGCGGCCAAGCCCCGCCCCTCCCCCCCAGGCCCTCGCTTTGCTGGCTGTGGCTGGCGGCTGCCTGCTGACTTGGCTCTCTGCGCCTTTCCAAGGTGCTAAAGCCCATTGGCAGCCTGGGGCTCGGGCAGAGCTGAGGCCTGGGAGGGCACCAGAGGGAAGACAGGGAGCCAGCTGGGGATGGGAAGGGAGAGCCACAGGACGCCTTAACATTGGGGCCAGAACAGGGAGCCCCAAGTACCAATAACCCCCGGCATGGGGGTGGTTGAGGGGTGGGGGGGAGGGTTCTACTAAAGCACCAGATCCTGCGCTTGGTGCTTTAAGTGAGTCATCTCCCTTAGGTTCACATGATCTCCGAGGGAGATAACACTCCCAGAATCGCCCCATCGTATCCTTTCACGGTCACTTTATCCTGGGCTTACAGATGTGGAAACTGAGGCCCAAAGACTCGGGAGAACCTGCCCCGAAGTCACCGGAGCGGTCGGGATGTCTCCAAAGGCTCTCCCACTTCTCGGGGATTCAGAGGCAGGGCCTCCGGGAAAGCGGGGTGGGGGGCAGGGGGTGGAGCTGAGCCCGCGCCCCCGCTAACTCTTCTCCTCGCCCCCTCCCCCCCGCCCTCCTGCAGGCCTTTCCTCGTGCTGCCGCCACTGATGGAGTGGATCCGGGTGGCCGTGGCGCACGCCGGCCACCGGCGCAGCTTCTCCATGGACAGCGACGACGTCCGCCAAGCGGCCCGGCTGCTGCTGCCCGGCGTGGACTGCGAGCCGCGCCAGCTCAGGTAGGGCCGCCGGGCGGCCGCAGGGAGGGGGCGCCCCTCCCCGGACACCGCGTCCCTGCTTCCCCGCATCCCGGGGCGGGGAGACCGCAGGCAGCGCGTGGGGCTCCCGGGCTCACAGAATCCGCGCCTCCAATCCGAGTCCCGCAGGGCGCTCGCCAGGCAAGCAGAATTGTCGCCCTGAAAGTGAAGCCCCCGCGGGTGTCCATGGCAGCCTGG